AGGAGACTGAAAGAGATTCTGATCAGAAGAGCTGACGCTAGCAGCCTGATGGAGTTCGCGAGGAAGCTGGAAGACGCAAGGAGAGTGCTTACTAACATGGGTTTCAGTTATTCAAGTCGCTTGGACAACGAAGAGACCATAGTCATGCTGATGAGAAAACTGCCAGACGAAGGCTTAAAGAGGAAATGGGCCGACAAGGCTGGAGATCTTATCAAGATAAAGGGCAGAGCTGAGTATGCAGACTTCGTCCAGTTCGTTAAGAATACAGCGGACAGAATTAACAACAGATACGGACAGGAACTAAGGGTGACTTCCTCGACGACGGAAAAGGAAAGAAGAGATCCAAAGAAAGAAAGATCTGACCAAATATATAAAGTCACGACCTTAGCAGCCGTTCAAAGTGATCAGAGCCAATGCCTATCTGCGATCGCTCACAAATGCCCACAATGTTCAGGACCTCACGGAGTTTGGAGATGCTGGAAATTCAAAAGTTCTTCTCTAAAAGATCGTCTTAAGACGGTGAAGCAACACGGTCTTTGCAGAGCCTGCCTTGAAGAAGGACACTGCGCCAAGTCGTGTACAAAGGGATTCAAGTGTAGAATCTCAGGGTGCGGTAAGGAGCATCACTACTTGATTCACATCGAAGACAGCGAAGGAGATCGCGTGAAAGACAACAGCAATTCAACTCGGAAGAGCGTCGAGAAAAATGTACAAGTAAGAGAGGCGACATCAGGGAGTCAGGAAAGAACAAACTCAGTAAAGACAACAACTAGTCAGTCAACGCCTTCGACCGTCTACCCAAATGCTATAGCAGTAGAGCCAAGTGATCCCGTCACAGTCAGCGCACTAGAAGTTTGCAGACCGAAAGTATGCTTCAAGGTTGTACCTGCCAAGGTCAGCACCCCTCAGAGTGACAAGCAGATCATCACATATGCATTCTTTGACAGTGGTTCGGACGCAACTCTCTGTATGGAGAGCTTAATAGACGAATAAGAGATCAAAACCAAGAGGCAAGCAATATTTACGATGTCTACCGTCAGTTCGCAGGAAAGGAAATGCGGATATGAAATAGACTTAAAAGTAGAATCTTTGGCTGGAGACGCACACTTCCGTTTAGAGAACGTACTGACCACGAGACATCTTCCTGTTCTGCCGAAGCATGTGGCGACCAATGAAGAAATAAAGAAATGGCCACACCTTAAAGATCTTACCCTAAGAGAAATCGACAGAAGAAGGGTAACCATCCTCATCGGTAGCGACCGTCCAGATATTATAGGGAAAGAACTGGATAGAAGAGAAGGTGGTAAGGGAGAGCCTTTTGCGGTGAAAACCCCCTTCGGTTGGACTGTCTATGGACCTATAGTAGAATCTAC